TAGCTAGTGATGTTGAACACTTTCTCAAGTGTCTCTCAGCCATTTTATACTCCTCAATTGAGAATTCTCTATTTAGTGCAATCCCCACTTTTTAATTGGATCCTTTGGTGTTTTGGAGACTTGCTTCTTGAGTTCTTTGTAAATTTTGTAGATCAGCCCTCTGTCAGATGTGGGGTTAGTGAATATCTTTTCCCATTCTGTGGGCTGCCTTTTTGTCCTGCTGACTGTGTCCTTTGTCTTACAGAAGCTTCTAAGTTTAAGGAGGTGAGAGTCTAAGTTTATAAAAGTTCAAGAAGGGTGAGAGACATAATTCTACTTAATTTTTTTAGCCAAAGGATTAATCTCTGTTTATTATGAGCTAAGGAAAGGCCTAAAGTGATATAAAACAAAAGCCTGACAGCATATTGTCTGAAGCTAACTCAGAGGGTAGGAAGCAAGCCCATGACAAAATTAAGAACCATTAAAGAACAAACAATTAGAAATAGTAGAATAGGTTCATGATCAGTTTATACTTTCCAGTTTTTACTCTACCAACTCAAAGATGCAATCAGCCACAAGCTCTTTAGAACTTTTCTAAATAGTGAGTGACATTTTAGCTGTGAAGACTTCAAATTTCTGAATCAGATTATGACGTTTCTCATAGATCTCATTTATATAATATCCAGTCTGGTAACCATGTTTTCCCCTTTTAAGTCACTTCTTTTTTAAAATGTTACTTCCCTTTCCTGTTCCCTAACTGCTTCAGATAGCTGCCCGGTTCAGGTTTTGGATGGTTATACAGCAAAGTCTACATGATTTTAGTGGGATGATTTAATTCCTTCATAAGAGTAATTTTTTATTCCAGACAGTTCTACCAACTGCATCATCAACATCTCCTCAATCATATGCTACATAGATCTATCGCCTAAAATGGCTTACCAGTCATAGTCTATGTGGATGCCCATAGAAGATTTTAGTTTCATGGCTCTCTAGGTCAAAGTTATCTTCCTCTCCAAAACTGTTCTTCCTTCCTTCCTTTTTTCCTAAGTTAATGAAATCACTATTCAGTATGTCACCCAAGCTAGGAAACCTCATTATGATGCTCAACTCATCCATTTATCTCATCTCTCACAATCAATCAGACAGCACATCTTGTTAATTCCTCTTCCTGCATATCTTTAAGATCTGTCTTCTACTTTTCATTTCCAGGGCTGCATGTGTGGTTTGCAGGTTCATCATCACTTTTTCAGGGGTAGCCATGGGTTCCTAACTAATTTCTCTGACCACTCTGGCAGACTCAAAATTATTTTGGTCTATCATTGATCTTTCGCACAGCTATATGCATGTGCGTTTCTATAACATAAATCAAATCTATCTCCTTTTCAATATAAAAGCTGCCACTACAAAATTTGAGAAATATTTTATAAAGTCTGATTTAGGATGAACCTAAATGCAAAGCAATTATGTTTTCTAGGAAACAAAAGGGACAAATTTTATCCTACAGAAAAATTACAGAAATCAATACAAAGCAACAAATCAATTTTGCATGATAACTTTTTATGTTTAAAATTTTTCATTTATTTTTAGGTTTTTCAATAATGACAATGCCTGTGCTCATTGTTCATTTTGATTTCCCCTTAGTTAAAGTTATCATTTACTTACTTTTCTCTCACAAATACACATATATATGCAATTTATTATAATTTATATATTATGTAAATGTATATGCATATGTATATACTACTTAAGCCACAATCTAAGGGAAACAATATTTATGAATTCAAGAGAATTTATGAATTAATTAAAATGATCTTAAACTATCTAATTAGAAAGAATTTTTTTAGAAAGAAAGAACTCTTGGGGAGCACTGAAAAATGAAAATTGTTGGTAATCAGCACTTTTCCCCTTAATGAATAGGGCACTGAGTTGGTATTAAAATGTGCATTTATAAATAGGATTCTGCAGGCATGTGACATTACACACCTGCCCGATAACTTTAAATTGCAAATGCAAGTTTTTTTCTTGTCTTTTTCTACTTTGTATATATTTATAGCAATTGATCAAATTGTTTTTCATATGTGATAAAACTTCTATTTTTTCTGTTATTTAAATTGCTGAGCACTCTTCTAAAGAGCAATAAGCTGACTAGCTTTTGACATTAATATGTTTTATCAAGTAAGAAATTAATGGTAGATTGTAACCTAATGAATTACCATTCTGTTGTATCAATATCAGAGCAATTTAAATTCAAAGAAATGACTTATGCTGCGAAGTTTATTGTAGTCATTTTTTATTCCTGAAATTATTTTAATAATTCTAGGTTTCAATTCACACATCTTAAGTAGGTGTAAATGCAAATTCAACCAACATAGGTTGGATAAGAACACTCGCTGTTGATTTAAAGCAGAGTCAGGTCAGTTTGCCATGGTTTTCCTCTAACAAAGAGTGAGAAGGAATGACAGCTAGGAAAACTTTTCAGTGTCTATCTCTCATTCCTTGAGTATGTCAAGACAGAAATATCTGTCTCAGCTTTTCAGCTATATCTTTGGAACTAATTTCATGCAGGTAAACTATTCTCATATAAGCATTTCTTAACTCACAGAGCAAAAAAATACTAGAGCAGATTATGTGATGATTTATTAGTTTGGAGAATGACATCCAACTTCTAATGACCTTTTTTTCTCAATGTTGCATATTACTATACTCAAAGTACTATGCTCTTTGAGAAAATAGACAAAGTGATAAGAGAGAGTATGTGATTCTTTCATTTAAGGTTGTTGTAGATACTACTTAGAAATTTAGATTTTCTTAGATGTATAAGAAGCACTGATGTTGTTGTAAACAGATAACAATTTCTTCCTCTTTTCTAAGAATGTAGCTGGTTACTCAGTATTACCACTCTTGGGCATATACACAAAGGATACTCAACTATGTTCGTAGCATCATTATTTATAATAGCCAGAACCCAGATGGCTATCAACCAAAGAATAGATAAAGAAAATATAGTATATTTACAAAATGTACTATTACTCAGTTTTAAAAAACAGCTACATCATGAAATTTGCAGGCAAATGAATGCAACTAGAAAAAATCATTCTGAGTGAGGTAACCCAGACCCAGAAGGACAAACATGGTACATACTTTCTCATAAGCGATATTAGATGCAAAGCAAAGGATAACCAGGCCACAATCCACAACTGCAAAGAAGCTAGGTAACAAGGATAAGGAATGCAGGGTATTGAGAGGAAACCTATTTGGTGGAATTTTTCTATGGAATTTTCTTTGAGTTCCATTCTAGCACCTTAGATTCCACCCTCATAATTTTCTTTCATTGCAACAAACCCTGCCATCTCAGACTTTCATTGTATCTAGCTTTGAAGGAATTACAAAACAAAATAACAAAAGAGCTAATCGCCTATGATCTCTTTGGAACACTGAGCTGATAAAAGTATTGCCATTGGAGTTTATAATGTTGTCAGCCAGGAAATATGAGAAGGATCAACAACATTGACATTAATGGAGAGTCTAAGCAGTGGTGATAGTAGTAATTAAACTGTGAAAATAACACCGTCAATGATCACTCTTGCAGGACTAGTTGCTTAAAAATAGTTAGAAAGGGAAAAGATGATTCTATGGCAAAACTCACATGGCACTCATCTGGGCAATCTGAATTTGATTTCCAGAAATCACACAGAGGGAAGGGAGCCAATGATCATAGAAACAAAGTAAGTTGCTCTCTTACATCCATAGGCTTAAACATGCCTACACACACACACACACAAACACATACACACACACACACAGCCAGACCTGTGAGAAAATAAGAAAATCACAGGTAACTTAAGGCACATAATACATACTTATATTCTCAAAGTCCATGCAAACAGACATTAGAAATTCCCAGCACAAGAAGTTATTTGAAAAATGTTTTGCTAAAAGACAAACTGACCAAAGTAGCATCAGATTTTAAAGAGGCTGCTTGTAGTGATAGTCACTGTGACATATATTTTAAATGCCTTTATTTTATCAATATTTATTAATTTCCTACATCTGTGTTATGAAACACTTAGAAATACAGGTTATACCAACATAAAGGTATAACCATTTGTAGATATGCTATTATATCTTGATTTCACATCACAAAAATTTGTTTTAGTGTTTACTTGGTAAGGTAAACAAAATACAAAGTAATAGCAGAAAGTAAATTTGTAAGCAAAGTCAGTTTATGGATATGAATTTGAGATATAATTGTAAGTGGAGATGCTCATTCATAGACCTGGGAACTTAGAGAAAGTATAACTTGTTGCTGAATATGAAATGGAAATTTACTGGTTAATAATGCAACACGGAAAGACATAAGAGCAAGCCAAGTGCTGGCTGAAAGAGCCGACTTTAGTTTGAGATGCTATAAACAATTATCATAAAACTGTTAGCTTGTAAACAGTAGTTCCACAGGGCAGGAATTCAAGTTTGCAGTATCATCAGGCCAACAGTTTGATGATGAGCATTTTCCGGGATGAAGATTACTGCTGACTTGTGTAGGTGGAGTTTTTCCTTCCGACCACCTGCTCCCTGTCTAGGCAGCTGCTTCCAAATTGCCACACAGAGACTTAGTATTATTTATAAATGCTCAACCAATAGCTCAGGCCTGTTATTAGCTAACTCTTACATTTAAATTAACCCACGATTCTATTTATGTTTTGCCACGTGCCTCATGGCTTGTTACCTCATTTTCTCCATTCTGTTCGCTCAGTGGCAGACTGGCAACTCCTCTGACTCATCCTTTGTCCTCCCATCATTCTTTGTTTGGCTTTCCTGAGTGACTGCCTGCCTAGCTACCCACCTGTCATCTTTTCATTAACCAATGAGAGTAAGACATATTCCAAGGGTACAGAAGGTTTATTCCCCAGGAGACTTGCAATCTCATCGTCCAGGAAAAAAAGTGTTGGGATTTGTGTCAGTGGATTCTTAGAATAGTAGTAGTTACATGTATGGGAACTACAATCCTATGGCCTAATTACCTCCTAATTTAATACCTCTGCACTCCCACAGATGATGTCTGCCCTGCAAGAAGAGGAGAGCATTCATTGATAAGAAAGCTGGTTTTTATAACAAGAAATTCTGCTCACCAAGCTAAGGCAAAAGAATACACAAAACATTGACAAATATATAATAATAATGAAGACACAATTCTACAAGGCATCACTCAGGACTCGTTTCTGCTTTAAATTGTTTCTGAGTAATTTTAATAATGTTTTATTAATTCTTGGAGAATGACATATAATTTATTTTGTTCGTATGTTTTTATTTTCCCCCAACTCTGTTTATATTTACTTCTACATCCCTGTTCATTGAAATTTATGTTCTCTCCTTCTTTCTCTTAAGCCTACTGAGACAAATTTGTGTTGTACTGATGATCTTGAGTGTGGTGCCATTTTCTGGAGCATGGTCTACCCACCACGGATCATAACTTTAAAGAAAGCTAACTTTTCCTCTCCCAGAACTTCTTGATCATTTCTACCAGTCAAATGCTGGGACTCTGTTTGTATGGGATTGTGAAGTTCTTATGCATTCTTCCACAAGCCATATGAGTAAATACATGCATATGCCTTGTTTCCTTATAGAAACACTATTTCCTTATAGTCTTCTACCACCTCTGACTTACTGGCCTGAGTCTTAGCAGGAAGGGTGTGACATAGATTTTCCACTTTGGATTGATCATTCCACAGTCTTATTCTCTGAGCCTTGACCATGATTATTAATTGCCACCAATCATGGGAAATCTATGCTGAGTGCTGAGAGATGAATTATAAACAATACTACATTATAATACTATGACCATTTGGAAGGATAAGCTTCTAGGTCTTATGAGGTAGTTAGACATAGGTTCTTGGCCTTAATAATGGTGGCAAGTATGGGTTGCATATTGTAGTAGGCATAAACTACAATACAGAAATCATTGACTGTTCTCATAACATTCATAACATTATTTCATTAGAAGGACTATCTTGCTAGTACAGTCATTTTTGTAGCTCACAGTATTTGCACTTGATGGTTTCTTTTCTCCTCTGATAGCATACACAACTTCTAGCAACATGAATGCTACCCTGTAGGTATGAAGATTCCAAGTCAACATTCTCTTGATTTCTACATGTTCTATCACTCAAGCATGTGGTATATTCAGTATCAGGGCCTTGGCTTATAGTTCTTGAAGGTAAGCAAGAACAATAACCTATAATATTTGGGACTTGTGAGGGCTTTAGTGGCCAACTATTCAATAAAGAGGTCTACCTTTCCTGGTGCTGAAGCTTTATTTTGCTAGCATGTGGTAGCTAATTGTGTGATATCACTCCCCCTCCCATTATAGGGTAAGTATATTAAAATGCTTCTATTTTTTTAGTTTTATGTATATTGATGTTTTGTCTGAATGTATGACTGTGGGAGACTGTCAGATCTTGGAGATACAGACAGTTGTTAACTGACATGTAGGTGCTGGAAATTGAACCTGGGTCCTCTGGAAGAGCAGTCAGTGCCCTTAACCACTAAGCCATCTCTCTATCCCCCAAAATGCTTCTTTTTGTGTGTGTGTGTATGTGTGTGTGAAGCTTCTACATTAGTAGGTATCTGCATACTTTTTTGAAGAATTTTCAATGAGTGTTTCATGTCACTAATAATGATTGCCTTTTCATTTTATGGATCTTCATAAATTAGGCTCATAATAGAACGGTAGAAATAAACTCTCCTAATTTTCAAATATAAGCCACTATTTGCTCCATGGCAAAAAAGAAATCTGTTCTGAATTTCAGATTTTTATCAGAAGCAATGGGTTTAAAGATGGGGAAACCAAAAATATATGCCAGTTTGTTTCCATTTCATTATTTTAAATACCTATGTAAATCCAAGGAAAGACTATGTTAATTCTGTAATGTTGTATCTAAATATAAAAAATATATTAGTTGGTAAATAATACAACTAGAATAAGAAATAAAGACAAAATTAAAGTAAGATTTTCAGAGTCTCTTACAATATAACCATATTTGAATAATTATGACAATTTCCCCATTTTATATAGCTCTTCTGGTTATTTAAAATCATTGAATGGTTATTGTAAATTTCTTCTAGCTGAATCATATTTTATGAAGAAATTTCATATTATATTTAATAATTCACATGGAAAAACAATGTGCATTTCTGAGAGAAATTAACTGTAAATAATTGTTTTTCAAGTACTACACAATGTTATAACTTAGAATATCCAAAGAACAATTTGATTCACAATTCTGTTAGTCAAAACAACGAATAAGCATGCAACCTCAGCCCCCAAAGATCAAAATACCAAACAGTAAAAAGTTGGTTTCATTGGTGCTATGATAAACCGACAAATGAATCATTGTTGTATCTTAAATAATATATCAGTACTCAATTTTAAATAGAAAATGTAACTAATTTACTTATCCAGTAAGTAAAGATTTAAAAGCAAGCCAGCATGTAATATATTTCAACAACATAATAAAATTCAAAATTTGCATTGTCAGCATGGCTGAAACAAGTATAGAAGGACAGAAAGCATACTTTATCCAGAGGTTGAAAAGCACTGAAGGGACTGCAGTAGGAATAAGAGAAGAGTTTACGTTGGAATAGTGGATGGCAGACTAGAGGAATTTATTAGTTACTTGATTCTTTTTGGTTGCCCTAATAGAATACCCTTAGAAGTGCAACTTAGAAGAGATATGGATTCATTTTGCCTCATAATTTAAAAAGTAAACTAGTTATTTAAGATAGAGAAGGTATGGCAGCAAGACCTTGAGGTCAAAAGAGAAGGGAGAGAGAGGCAGAGGAGGATATAGAGAGAGGGAGATGGAAGAGAGTGGGAGATAAGGAGAGAGGATGGGGAGAGGCAGAAAGAGACAGAGACAGAGAAGAGAAACTTGGATCCCAGCTACAAAACGTCAAAGTCCACTTCCATTGACTTAACTTCCTCCAGAAAATGTTTTCCTTCCAAGGGTGTATAACTTTCCCAAACAGAATTAACAAGTAGGAGTGAATGGTAAAATACTTGATCTATGTGTTACATTTCTTATTCAAACTACAGCCTTCAATAAGCAATATAAAAGGCAAATTTACTGCTGTTTAGCTTTTTAAAAATGGGGTCCAAATATAATCATAGCTTGTCTCTGTTAGGAAAGTTCAAGAAACAATGTTCTGTCCCCTGACCTACTTCCATAACATTTCCTATGTGGTATCCCAGAGTCCTGGAACTACTTACCCATTACACTGGACTTAAAAATAGCAAACATTGAATAGATGTCCTTCCTTGGAAATAAATACTCATCATCTAAAGACTGAAGAAAGCAAGGTCTTGACAATCATGTTCAAAGCCTTACAAAATTAGCACATGGAAAAACAATTTTCAAAGATAAAGAGTGACTGCAGCAGGGCATTGGTGGAACATGCCGCCTTTAATCCTAGCACTTGGGAGGCAGAGGCAGGCATGTTTCTGTGAGTTCAAGGACAGCCTGGTTTATAAAGTGAGTTCAAGGATAGCAATGACTGTTACACAGGGAAACCCAGCCTGTAAAACCAACAAAAAAAAAACAAGCAAAAACAAAACAAAACAAAACAAAAGACTGGCTACACAGCCTTCATAACTTACAAAGTGCCCACTGGAATGTAGGAGAAGAGCCACCTATACATTTACACACTTATAGGAGTGTAAATGACCTATAGCTCACTATGAACAAAATTGCATACACCTGGGTGGAGATTCAACATGCTAAGGAGACACACAACTTGTGAAACTATCTAGAACTACATGCAATGGAACATGTGTGTTTAACCTGAAATATGCACATTCTTTTAAAAAAAATCTCCAACCTATGCAACCTGATTCTTTGTAAAAGGAATTTTGAATTTGGAATACTGAGATATCTTTGTTCCATCCCTCTTCCTGCTTTAGACCCTGAGTAGTTAAGTGTACAACATAAGTTTTACAGTGGCAAGCCTCTTCTCAAAATTGAGAGGTTTCCACTCACCCAGTAGAGAAACTAAATCCAATAAAATAAGGTCACATTACTATTGTGATTTGCCTCTTGCTATATTATTGAATTGCCAGCTTCATGGTACTGGCTGTGTAAGAATTACACAGAATTTTTATATAGGCAAAAATGAGATTATTCAAGCCAACTGGTTAGAGAAGACCTAAACTTCCCTGTTGGAAGTAGACTAACTAGATGCCCATAACTGGCACAATGTTAGGCTATTTAATCATTGAGAGAAGAATGTTTAAGTAGCCAGATAGGGATCAGTAAGCTTTAAGGCCATTGACAAAGGATCTCTCCCTTATCATTGGCATTTGACCCTACCTCCTGTTTTCCTGGCAGCACTAGAAAGTGAAACAACACATCTGTGCCTCTTTAGGATTTAAAATTACGTATGAAAGGATGGAGACATTAAGACTTTGTTGAGGCTCATTAAAAGAAAGGGACTTCCTGCAGGTCAGAAGAAAGGATTCCAAGTTCTACCTTCTGTCCCTGTGTGGAGAGTTGACATTCTGATCTGCTGCAAATATTAGATCATTATGTATGATGATGTCCTCCCTTAAGAGAGAATCCAGCTGGGCCTGCCAATCACTTGGCAAGGAGACAACCACATAGAAAAGTTGATTCACCTAAAAGACATGCTAATGAAATTATCCCCTTAATAAATTAATGCATGGATCCCTCCTGGAAGCCATTCTGTCTCCTTGCTTTATATGCAGCCATTTGCAGACCTTCACCACTAATCTTGTGAGCTTGACTGAGTTGTAATTCAAATAGCATAGCTTTTACTTTTGTATCTCTTAGTCTCTTTTTCTCCTTCACTCTTTCTCAGTTCCTGTTCTCTGTCTCCCAAACACTAACTAGGTTCTCCCTGACATTCTGGGCTTTATCGCTGTTTATCTGAAGAATATCTCCACAGCTATTGCAAGTCTTCAATCCTAACTGGAAAGCATGGCTTGCACCCATCTCCTCCTTTCTTCACCAGGTAGCTACTGAGATTTACTGCTTACATGCCTTCCCGTTTTT